GCAGAGAGTGTGCAGACAACATTGCACCCTCAAATTGAATGTGCTTATGCCAAAACACACAGTAGACACACAGCCACACAAGTAACACTGTGACATTTCTGTTTCAGCCTTTGCCCTGTGTCCTGAGAGACTTTCACATGTAAGAGCTGACAGTGATGATAGGGACCGGTCTCATCTTGCTCTGTGCTAGCTAATGGTCTTCTCAGTTCTCTCACAAACACTGCTTTTAAATGAACTATTTACTCTTGAAAATGATGCTTCCCACACATTTATAAACCATTTTCACAACATTCAAGTGGGTTGGTGTGGTAAAGAGGAATGAAAAAATGTTCAACCATGTTGCAACCATGCTATTTGAATATTGGCTCAGGTAGATTTTCATATTTCAAACACAGTTTTTTTTACATGTGCAACATATCTTGGGAGGTGCTTTCCATCTTTATTCATAACAACAGTCTTCTGGTTAATATGAAAGTTATTTATATTTTTCTTTTTTCTCTCTCTCTCTCTGTCTGCAGAGGATTTAGTGGAGACAGGAGACGTCAAGACTACATGATAAGGATGGGAACCCTTCAAGTACTGAAAACCCAGCTGCTGTGTCATCTCATTATCTGTTATGTGTTCCTAGTCAGTGGGTTTATTATCAACCTGCTCCAGCTTTGTACTCTTCCACTGTGGTATATTAACAAGCAACTCGCACGCAGGATCAACTGCAGATTGGGTTATTCTGTTTCTAGTCGTAAGTCCTGCAAGCTCTCACATGTGGCCTCACATCTTCCAAAGAAAGATACTGTCATAACCAGCCATGATGCAACATGCTTCCAGTGCTTACTTTGTCTGCACTGACAAAGTAGTACAGCATGAAGTGACAAAATTGCATAAAAATAGTAACACAGTAAAAAGTGGTCAATAATATTTGTCACAGTCATGGAGATCATGATTATCATGTCTCACCTGTTGCTTTGTACCATGATTGTATTGTAGGATGCGCAAAACTTACAACCATTATTTCCTGTTTGAAAACCTCGGAGTTGCACTGAGGGTAACAGAACAGAAAGTTGATATTTTTGAATTTTGCAAATTGCCCTATTTACATAAAAAGTTGATGAACTTGTTGGACTACTTCACATTCATGAATATGTAAATGCATTCTGCATTCTATACATCATAATTCAGTATGTATTTTTTGTTGTTGTTGTTTTGTTCAGAATTGGTGGCATTGTTGGAGTGGTGGTCCGGGACAGAATGCACACTTTACACAGATCCAGAAAGCTATCCTTTCTATGGCAAAGAAAACGCCATTGTTGTCCTCAATCATAACTTTGAGATAGATTTTATGACCGGCTGGACCTTCTGTGAGAGATTTGGTGTTTTAGGGGTAAGACAAAAATACAGTTTCATACAAAATCTAAACTTTCCCGCACCTTAACAAGTGTGTGATTCAAAATTATTTTTAAAGACTCAATACTGTCATGATGCAGATTGCAATTGTTTTCATCATATTTTGCTTTCAGAGCTCAAAGGTGTTGGCAAAAAAGGAACTTTCCTTTGTTCCTGTGATTGGCTGGATGTGGTACTTCCTGGAAATTGTCTTCTGCAAAAGGAAATGGGAAGAGGATCGCAAGACAGTAGTGCAAAGCCTGCACAACCTCCGTGATTACCCAGAAAACTTTTGGGTATATTTGTGAAATCTCATTGCACATTGTACTCTGGTGATTTTACTTGATTTCAGATGTCTCTTTTCCTTTATCTTAGACGCACAATTACTTAAAGGAATAGTTTACCTGTTCACCCAAAAATGAAAAGAAATCATCATTTACCTACCTTCATGTTCCACAGCCCAAATGCTGTTATATTTTCTGTGGAACATAATAGGAGAATTTCTGAAAAATATTCAGGCAGCTCTTTCCATGTGATGACAGTTTGTCATTGTTCCAAATAGCACCATGAATGTAGTCCATGTGACAATAAGTCAATTTTTGGGTAAACTGTTCCCTTAACAAATACACTATATCCCGTATTTTATTAAGCTTTTCTGTCCCCTTGTGTGGTTGATGTTAATTTTTATGATGTGTCTGTAGTTCCTGTTGCACTGTGAGGGCACACGTTTCACAGAAAAGAAGCACAAGATTAGTATGGAGGTGGCAGAGAAGAAAGGTCTGCCCAAACTCAAGTACCACCTTCTCCCTCGGACCAAGGGCTTTTGTGTCACAGTCCAGAACCTCAGGGGAACGGGTGAGAGCTTCTTGGCCTTTAAAGGGACAGTTCACCTTCAGTTGCTGGTCCCCATTGACTTGCATAGTGTTTTTTTCCCCATACAATACAATAGAAGTCAATGGGGACCAGCAACTGAAGGTGAACTGTCCCTTTAAGTAATGATGAACCCATAGTGACAATGCTTTCATTGATCTTCCAGTGAGTTAATGCAAATCACTCTGTTGATGTCTTTCAAATTGAATACTTTAAGTAAAAGATGATGTATTTTTGGCCAATGTAGCCTCTAAGAATTTGGCTCGCTGACTTGGTTTGTGTCTCCTTTGTAGTTACTGCTGTGTACGATTCTACACTTAATTTCAGAAACAACGAAATGCCAACTTTACTAGGAGTACTCAATGGGAAAAAATATCATGCTGATTTATATGTGAGGTAGGAATGAAAGAAAAATCTTCTTCACATTGCCCTTTGTCAATATTTAATAGCCTGTTGTATATTAAATGATCTGTGATAATATCTCCTGCTATAACAAAGTTCAACATGCAGTCTCCATAATCATTTAGAAATGTTTTAGTTTAATGGCTTCCTATATGAAAGTGTTGTCAGCAGCAAGATTAAGATAAACCTTCATGGATTTCCTTGTGTGTTTGTTAGGCGGATTCCTCTGGACACAATCCCAGAGGATGAGTCTGAATGCGCGGCCTGGCTTTACAAACTCTATCAGGACAAAGTAAGTGCACTACCTGCATTAGGTGGAGGTGTTTTTGTGGTGGTCAGTGTTATTTTAGTATAGTATAGCATGTATTAATATTTTGAATTGGCTTTTTTTTTTGTTTTGTTTTGTTACATGATCTGATCAATTTATGACTTTTTTTTTTAGTATTTCTATTTAGCTTTATTTTTTATTTCAGTTTTAGTACTTAAACATTAGAAAACTAGTTGGCAACAAACAGTTGTATTTTCAGTTAATGAAAACATTTTAATAGTGTAATTGTAGTTAGCAAGAACAACACTGGTGCTGGTATTAGCATATCCATATTGGACAAACATGGGCATTAAGTAATTTTGTTGTGCCAACTCACACAGGATGAATTCCAAGAGCATTACAGACAGACAGAACGTTTTCCGGGTCCCATTACAAGCCCTCCGCGCCGACCTTGGGCCCTGCTGAACTGGCTCTTCTGGGTCTGTTTGTTGGTCTACCCTCTCTGCATGTTACTGCTCCAAATGCTGCTATCAGGATCCACCTTCACTGTCGTCTGTACATTTGTCTTCTGTCTAGCAGGTACTTGGGATAAGGACAAGGGCATGGGGTGGTTATTTCTTATTGATTATAATATAAGCTGGTGTAACAAACAGCAAAATAATATGATTGCAGCAGATGATTTTTAGTCAATCTTTTTTTTGTCATCAAGCAACAAAGGAATTATATACTGCTGCTATTTTCCCCCAATCTGTTTTTTCAAAAAATATATAAAGCAGGCCAATTAGGTGCTATAGCTGTAAGTATATCAACCACTTCTATCTGGATTTACTGCATGCTGGTCAATTCATAAGCGCATGAATGAATGACACATTTTAATGCACTGAAAGTGCCCTTAAATACCATAGCATGTGAGAATAGGATTAAAGATTCATTTCAGAGGTAAACGTTTCATCTAAACCCTAAATGCACACAAAACAAACCTTGAACTACATGATTCAGATATACTACAAGACATCATGCATCTACTAGATGTTGTTTAAATAAATCTTTCATTTCAGTCTTTCATTTTCCCTTTACTTAGTACAGGGTTCCCACACCTGTTGACCAAGGAATTTCAATGACTTACGATTACTGTGAAAAACTATTTTTAAAAATGAATTTATAGAGTAATTTCTAGTAGAAGATAGCCAAGCATAGCTATATCGATATTGTCCCATCATTCACAAATTTCCATGACTTTTCCAAGCTTCAAAAGTTTAAAATTCTGATATTTATAGGTTTTCCATGTCCGTGGGAACCCTGTTTGTATTATGATCTAATGCAGTGGTTCTCAGCCTTTTTGACTCTTTAACACTCCCATTGTCCAAAACAATATATAGGCTACTTTCAGTATTTCTGCTGTAATTATGACAGACCTTGTTTACATACTGTATGATTTAGAAGTTTCAGGATCTGTATGTATGTTCTTAAAAACAATAGTTATTGAGGGGGAAAAGAAATTTTATAATTTAAGAGTTAACATACGAGTTTACATCTTTGTGCTTTTTAGAGTTTAAATAATTATATCTCTATTAATAATAATCATGCTTTTAATAATGAAATATTCTGCACTCACCCGCCCAGTCAACTCTCCCTTCATGAGAACCACTGATCTAATGAATGATAATATGAATTTGAGTGCTTGTAGCCCTAGTTTAGTTAAGCATGCTAATGTGACTGGCTGTTGCACAGTAACGGACAAATTTTTGCTTTTATTTTCAGTGTCAGTTGGTATCCGGTGGATGATTGGACAGACCGAGATTGACAAGGGTTCGAACTACGGGAATAAAGAGATGCAAATAAACAATAACTGAGACTTCCACCAGGGCAACAAGATCATGCTACTTTACAGTCATGAGGGCGTTTTCACAACAGGAACTGATATTAGCCAAGTGCAGCCACCTTCGTAAGTGAAATTTGAGGAAGTCGCCACATGAAAGAGCTGTTTAAAATGCTTCTGTTTTGATTTACATGTTGTTTTTTAAAAAGAGACAAGTAGGCCATTTAAAAAAAACTGTCTGTTTATTAATATTCTTTTTTAAATATTGCAAACACTGTTGGAGGAGCAGAGAACCAGCAGTTGATGCCTGTGTAAGAGCATGTTTGTCCACCCAGCCGAGTGCAGCAGCAGAAAGGCGGAGTCAGACTGGCCTCTTCCCTCTCATTGGTTGATTATGCTCTTGTGCACCCAGATGGTAAAGGCACGCCATTGGCAAGCACGAAGCTGAGCCAACGCAGCACAACTACTTATAGGCTTAAATATGACTTGTTAACAGTGGGCTCTGCAGCAAGGCAAACAAAAATACCATTTTAACAAAAAAAAAGAAAATTAAAATCTTCTCTACTGACTTTCAGCCCCAGGTTTGTATGCTTTCTTCAGTGAACACTCATTGAAATTGTACATACAGTCAGTCAATGTCTAACTCCCTCCATTTCCCATTCTCTGATGCTTTGTGCAGAGAACATCCCTTGAATTGATGTACTGTCTCCTAACATGTATTCCCTGTGACTCGATTACCGACAAAGTGGCTATTAAACTTCAGCTTTATAATATGCTTTGTACACAGAAAAACCCTAACCCTATTCTTACAGTATGTACACAACGCACTTGTCCAAACATTTCCATCCCATTTGCTCATGTTACTGTACATGTAAGACTTGCCCCGCCTCTTAACATCTCAAGGGGCTCGTATCGAGCAGAGCGCGTCTGTTTTAACCTTCGTCCTCCCTCATGCCACGTGAAGTAGTGCTAGCATTTATGTAAACATTAAAAGAATACACGTCTTTCCCCGTCACTCTTCATCTGTGCAGACCTGCAATTGAAAAGACATGAGATTGACGTGTTAGTGCCATTTCCATCAGCCTCTTAAGCAGCCAATCAGGTGACAGCATGTGACGTCTACCTCACCCCTCTGTAATTACATTAGTGATGCACTGTAATTGTGGAATCACTATTGTCAACCCAGCCATACTGTCCACACAGTTTCTCAATGATTTAGGCCTTCCAAAATTCATTTATGGCCAAATATTTTTAGTTGCCAAATTTCAGTGCATCACTAAAATAAGCCATTGGTTGTCAGTGTTTAGTGCTCAAAGTGAGAATTTATTTGTGTCAGGGTCTGGTTCATGTGTTTTCAAGTGTGTAGCATATTGGTGGATCTAATTTGGGTAACAGATTGGAAATTTGTCAGAGAAACGATCTCCATCATATGTGTGACCCTATGAATCAGCTGAAGGAAATAACTAGCTGTATGGGTGAGAGGGAGTTCATACCTTGACAAAGAGTTGCCAAATTTCAGTGCATCACTAAAATAAGCCATTGGTTGTCAGTGTTTAGTGCTCAAAGTGAGAATTTATTTGTGTCAGGGTCTGGTTCATGTGTTTTCAAGTGTGTAGCATATTGGTGGATCTAATTTGGGTAACAGATTGGAAATTTGTCAGAGAAACCTGATCTCCATCATATGTGTGACCCTATGAATCAGCTGAAGGAAATAACTAGCTGTATGGGTGAGAGGGAGTTCATACCTTGACAAACGGGTGGTCCAACAGAGCGCTGGCGGTCCAGCGTCGCTTCGGTTCACTCTGCAGGCAGTGGGCCAGGAAGTCCTTCCCCTCTGTGCTCAACTTTTCAGGAATGGGTGGTTTGTGGCCCATTCCCACTTTATACATGATCTGGAAGTTATGCTCATATTCGTGCCAAGGTCTCTGAATTAAGCAAACAGTATGGAACACACACAGAGTTACTTACAGTAGTATGATGTTTGTAGATTTTTTTTTTACAGTTCACACACTAAAAACACAGTCACTAAATGATGGTACTACAAGACGAATAAACTTTAAAACTGGTGAATATCCGAATTGTTTTGTTGTAATTGGTGGAAATTTGATTAATTATGTTTCAGGAAGCCCTATCCAGTAGTACCATTTTGGTTGTTTAGGCATGTGTAGACAAGCCCAGAAAATTCCTTTGGATTTGGTGTTGAATGAACGCAGTGCGGATATGTTTTCACAATGGCACGCTATCTTCAAACCAGTTTGGAGTAAAGCTGGCACATGGGTAAATAAAGAATTAGACCAAACTCAGGCATAATGCATGCACATAGACCACGTTTTACCTTTCCAGTGACCATTTCTATGAGAACACATCCAAGGCTCCAGATATCAGCAGCACGACCATGACCTTCACCCTTTGCTCTAGTGATGACCTCAGGAGCCATGTATGCTAGAAATGAGAAAGAAAACAATGTGATAATCGTCACAATGCTATAGATACCAAATAGTGTTATTTTTATTACCTATTTGCTCCTATGGTATTTAACATTTTTTATTAGCTTTTATTTTTACAGTTTCAGTTTCCCTTTTAATTTGTTGTAATCAATTTATTAATATTTTTATTCAGCTTTAATTTATTTTTATTTCAGTTGTAGTTTTAGAAATTGTAGTATTTAAACTTTTATTTCAGTTAGTTGCCAAGGTATTTCTAGTTGTATGCCTTTAGGTTTTTCATCTAATGTTAATATTTTATTTTAGCTTAAATTCACTTAAACTATTTTTAATAGTTTTAGTTAAAGGGGTCATATGATGCTTTTTTAAAGATCATTATTTGGTGTAACAGAATATGTTGACATGCTTTAATGTTCAAAAAACACATTATTTTTCAAATACTGTACATTATTGTAGGTCCTCTATGCCCCGCCTCTCTCAAACGCTTCGTTTTCTTCAAAGTCCCTCCTTCTGACAAGCGCAGTCTGCTCTGATTGGCCAGCTGACCCAGTGCATTGTGATTGGCCGAACACTGCAAGCACTCGTCAGAAATGTAACGCCCCTTACCATAATCGCAAGTTTCATCTTTCAAAATAAATGTAAAGACAGTAAATAATGTCATTAGTTTTACCATCAGTTCAAGCCCGAAAGGGGAACAGAGTCTCGTGACAGACACAGTGATGAAGCTGGTATGTGTTTGCAGTACACAAGCCACGGTTAAGACAGCTGACTCTGTGATGTGACGCTGTCTCTCTCTCTCTCTCTCACGATGCGCAAAACTCTGCATTTGAACAGTCAATAGCAAATACTTAAACTAATAACAAAACAGTAGCTGATTCAGAAGCGCCAGATTGTCATAGCAAAGTCAGAATTACCTCCTCTCCTAGGTTCACGAAACGGTCGTCCATAAAATGCATTGCTGTTCTGTTGTAAGTAATCTTAAAGATTCCTAAATGCATCTACTTTCGGAAGGCCAAATAAAGTGCTTTTGCTTTCGCCTAGAAACACACAGCGTCTCCCTGACATGGCTGCTTCAACACTACTGCGGTTACTGAAACCACGCCTTCTTTCTTTGCGTGCACATTTGGCCGCATTATGCCAATATTTCCACATAGTGAGGTAGATATGTGGGGGGGTGTTAGAACGAGCCATTTTAGGGGGGCGTGGCAGAGGCTTAACTTTGATAAAGAATATCTCTTTGGTTTTGAGACTTTAGTCTTTGCAACTTCAGGGATCTTATCTATGCACAATCAGCTTGTAACTCTCCAAAGAGAAAGGAAAACTTGAAATCGCATCATATGACCCCTTTAATAATAACACTGAAGCTAGAAGCTATATTTAACACTTAAATTTCCTTTTATATTTGAATATATAAAAGGTATATATATTTCAAACTAATGCTACCATTTGCTAAACATTTTTTATGTTTATCAATACAACTGGTGATAAAATAAAATTCTTTGCTCTCAGTATCCCTTATTTTCTTCCTGTCCTAGCTTTTACTATTTTGAACGATGACGGAGATCTGGCACTTTTCGTGTTTATTGCCATCCTATGTTTGTTGTATTCCTCAAAAGTCACTTTGGATAAAAGCGTCTGCCAAATGAATAAATGTAAATGTAGTTTTCATGCGTTTAATTTTTGACAGCACTGGTGATAAGAAAACTTTGGAAACAGCTTAAAATAAAGGTCTAGACCTCCAGCATGCCTCACAGAGCTTTACAACAAAAAGAACAAGTTTTTTGAGATATTATTTAGGTATGCCAGTTGTCCCTTTAGGACACCTCACCATACCATTCAAACAGTTTGACATGCCCTCTGGTGTCTAAAACTGGGAACTACAACATTAAGTCTCTCACCTGCTGTTCCCAGTGTGCTGTTCACCTCTCCAGGCATCGTCTGAGCATTGTTCTTCAGCTTCACTGAGCAGCCGAAGTCCCCTAGCTTTATCAAGCCCGACGACGTGAGAAAGATATTGGCTCCTGGGAAGTAAAAGAAGAACAATAAATAGTGATGCAACAAAATAATTATTAGCTAGGCATTCCATTAACTAGCTAATTATGAAAATGTCATTTTGTACATCTGTATCCCAGAATGGCATCTATCATTTTGATGAAGAAAAAAAGGAAATGAGGAAAGGAAATCTTGGTGCAAGTGAAGCAATAAATGAACACCTTTAATGTCACGGTGGACAATGCCGTGTTCATGGAGCACATTGATTGCCGTCGTGATCTGCTTGCTGTAGAGGCGGATGACGTGTTCCTGCAGACCCAGTCTAGACACTTCCTCCAGGGTCCCTTCATCACAGTACTCCATAAAGATATACATTTCTTCCTGCAAGAGCCAATGAGGAATAAACGTACAGAAGACTTCAGCAGACCTTGACGTAACACAAACACTTTTTTACCCTGTGCAACTCCACACCAAAGTAGCGGACAAGATTGGGATGTTTGATTCCTTCAAAGATCTTTAGCTCATCGGCCGTTTCCTTTATGGTTTTGTGGTCATTGGGCTGAAAGCGAATCTGGAAGCAAATTCAGTTAGTTAATAAAGTTCTTATAGTTTATATATATCTATTTATATATATATATATAAATGAATTAATATATTAATTAAATTAATAACAGTCTCAGGCATATACCTCCTTCATGGCCATCAGTTCACCAGTGTCCACATTGATGCATGTGTAAACCTTTCCATACTGCCCTTCACCTGTCAACGAAGAGAAAAACTGAAAATGTAACAAGAAAGGCCTCTGCTATGTAATGAAAGCATACTTTTTACCACTGACCTATCTTGTTGCCTCTCTGCCATTTGAATGTGACCTTGCGCAGACCCACGTGCATGACGTTGTCGTAGGACTTGGGGGTGTTGCACACCTGTCCGATGATGTTTCGCTGTCTCATGAGCACATAGTGCTTGTCATCAAAGATGCGTATAGAGCGCCAGACAGCCTCCATAGGGCTCTGACGTGCTGCAGTGTCTGCAAGACAATCAGCACCGGGGTTGATATATACATTATATTTGCAACAAGAAAATATTTTTTATTTTTTTACTTTTTTTTTTATTACAATTTAAAATATATTGTAATTTTTTTTATTTAATATATTGAAAAAATTCAATTTCTTCCTGTGATGGCAAAGCTGCTTTTTTTTAGCAGCCATTGCTCCAGTCTTCAGTGTCACATGATATTTCAGAAATCATTCTAATATGCTGCTCAAGAAACATTTCTTCTTATTATCAATTCTGAAAACAGTTGTGCTGCTTTGTGTGTAAACCGTGATACATGTATTAATGTAAAATTCTTTACTGTCACTTTTGATCAATTTAATGCATCCTTGCTAAATAAAATAACTTTTTTGCCCCAAAAAAAACTTATGGACCCCAAAAATCTTACTGACCCCTGAGCAGTAGTGTGTACTGTAGGTAAATTTTTAGGTCTATATGTTTGTTTATTACTATGTCTTGTTGTATTGGTGCATTTAGATTATAATATCAGTACTGTAGTATTAACAACATATTTGTCTTTACATTAAACTTTATGAATCAATAATGACAGTTGATTGGACTTCCATGGGTTGAATCACCCTTTTAAGCCATTTCAGAGTAAATACAGCACATGAATAAAGAACAAATATATATATATCTGTATATAGAACTTTGTCAGAAGCTGTGAAAAATATAGATGTGTATTTTAGTCTATTTTGCACAGCTGTACTTTCATCTGTCATCTTGCATGACATGAACTCATCATCATCATTTCTTTTCTTTGTTCTACCTTTTGACTGGCTGATGAAGTTGCGGAGCTCCCAGCTGCGACGGGCGGTACTGCTGGGGTCTGCTTTAGGATACGAGGGCTCTGGAAATACAAGAGAAAACTTAGAGAACATGTTGAATAAAAATGACACTTCTTACACAAAGACAAATATTGCATCAGTACCTTCTCTGTCTTCTGTCGGGCTGGAGTGGCGACTGAGGGATTTAAACTGTAGCTCCGCCGCCACAGATGACAGACGATCGTTCTCATGTACACTAGAGACCCTGTGTGGCAGAAGAGTCTAATGTTATATATATGGTCACCATCTTCCTTCAGACAGAAACGGGTTGAGACACACTGCATGCAATAAGTAAAATGAAACGTTAGATATGACGAGCATGCTTAAGTCTTATAGCAACACATAACGCAGATGGGAAAGCCAGTTCAAGCGCAGCAGTGCTAAGAGTCACAATAAGCAGCATTAAGCTCTTTCAAACCATATACAACCTCTGCTTCTGATTTAAACATAAGTTCATGAAAAAGTTATGTAAACTACTCATCAAGCTATTAATGTTGCTTGACAGCCTATATATGAATTGTTTATTCTGATTATTATTACACACAATGGCACAAATAAATCAGAGTACTAATTAGGATCATACATTTTCACCTTTCATATACTAATGAACAACCACTCGCAGCGGTGAGCTGATCCTTAAACAGCACTTTGTGATCTTTATGTACTTGGATCAATGTGTATATTTGTTTCAGTGATTTCCCAGGTGGCAGCAGGACAGGGTGTTTAAGCCAATGATGCGTGCTAATGCATGCCTCAACAGAGACTAATAATACGGAAGCACTGGACACTGAAAGTAGCAAAGATCACAGTTTACCAAACACATTTATCATTCAGGCAAATCATCTGCTAAGGGCTCATACAGTATTGAAGTGCACAGCAATGTGGAACAATTATTGTGGGCTGATTATATATCTTAGCTGGCAGGGACTTAGAGAAGGAGCACTACATCACTTTCATGTATAGGACTTAAATGTGTTACACTTACAGAGGTCATATCATACTTTTTTCATTATTATTTTACATTTTTTTATGATTTATTTTTAAAGTCCACTCTGTTTTTATGCAATAATTTAGTCATTAATAACAATTTTTACTCTCTCTCTGACACTCAATTGAATTAAACAGATAATTTTGTGCAACGCTTAAAGGTGGGGTAAACGATTTTTCAAAAACGCTTTAGAAAACTGATTCGGGCCGACTACCAAAACAAACTTGTAGCCAATCAGCAGTAAGGGGCGTGTCTGCTCATGATGTGGAGGAGAGAGGGTTCAGTGCACAGGACGGACATTAGCCGAGCCGAGCAACAGAAAGATAGATGGCAGATAAAAAAACAAAAGAGGAAAACGTCTGCGGAACAAAAGAAGGCTTAAGGCAAGAAGTAGGACCCGTGTAAATATCGGATCAGCTTTCCAGCGCTGGAGAGAATTCAAGGAGCGGAAGGCCTGCGATCAGACGCCAAGGTTGCTTTGTTTCTTCTCGATAGGTGAGTAACACCGTGTCTGCGCCGCAACAGCTGAAGTCTGTCTAGTACATTGGACGCGACAAAGCTATTTGAAATTTTTGTTGTTCCTGTGGCTCAGTGGTAGAGCATTGCATTAGCAGCGCAAAAGGTCGTGGGTTCGATTCCCAGGGAACACACATACTGGTAAAAAAAATTTATAGCCTGAATCCACTGTAAGTTGCTTTGGATAAAAGCGTCTGCTAAATGCATAAATTATTAATTATTATTATTATAAATTTGTGTCAATACGTCATGAATAGAACACAGCAGCAGTTTTCTGTCGGGGATTTGTAGTGTCGTGCCGCATCCAATGTAGACAGCATCACTGATTATAATGAGTTCTATAGTATTTTGTCGTGACACGCCACTCGCGTCCAGTGGAGACACGGTGTAGCATTGGTTTTGCTTTGTTTCACAGAACTAATCGTTGCCTGGGTTACATACGTATGTGTGGGGCGGAGCTATCAAAATAGGGCAAGACCCTTTTGGGGTAGGGGCGTGTTTGTTTTGGTGATTTCAAATATCAACATTGGCTACCAGAAATCCCTTACCTCACCTTTAATAAGGCCGCTCTATTGAAGGATGCCCTGCCTTCTGAGCAAAAGAGCCAATCGCTAAAGTCATTGCGTCACTGCAACTGCCGTTAGAAGTCCCGGTTGCTATAGTAATACGTAGCATTCTGGAGACGTGCGCTTAGGACTGCCCATGGGTTGGTCTAGCCTGCAAAATACACTTCTTTTTTTTTTTACGCTATTGGAGCTATAGAAACAACATTTATGAGACAGCTGTTGTCAGATTTCATTGGTGATTTCAAATCTGAAATTTAATCGTAAGCTTGACGAACAGTTTTGGAGAATTTGATGTTTCCCAATTCAAAGAGATAGGAGCTGCACTTGCATGCCCGAGAGGCGTTTCAAAGATGGCCGCCGAGTGACATGACTTGCCTTAAAGGGACTTTGGTGCTACATCCAGGATTTTTTTTAAGTATTACTGAGATACTATTATAGTTTTTATTAATATTTGGAATATTTTATTTTTTATTTTTATATTTTCTGGTTTCATTTTAATTTTAGTAGTTTTGTTGTGTTTTGTCATTTTTAGTAGTTTTTTTTATGTCTGTATTGTTTTCATTAATTTGTTTTGTAGTTTTAGTTCAAGTTAACCTAAATTAAAATGAGAAATGTTTTTATATTTTATATCAGTCAATGCTTGTTATTTCAACTAACGCATTTTTTTATGGTTTCAGTTAACTATAATAACCCTGCTACATACTGCACAAGGTTCAGTGAACATTCCCACATTCGCAAAACAAACGTTACTCTTATTGTCAGTTCCTCTAATTTTAGGAACTGATTGGATCAGTTGGATTGTTGTTTGCTAAATGCTGTGCAATTTTGATTTTATGGTGACTTTAAGGTGCTGTGCAGCAATCATATACACCAGTGTTTCTCAACCCTGGTCCTGAGCGCCCCCCAACACTGCACATTTTGTATGTAGCTTCATGTAGCTTAATAATCTATTAGACATAAAGGAGAGTGATATTTGTCCCAGGACTATCAGAAATGTCTCACTGTTTCCTTTCCCTTCTGGGGGGTGCCCAGGACCAGAGTTGAGAAACACTGATATACACAGAATCCCAATAGGCTCAGACCTCAAAAGCAAAGTTGTAGCCCTGGATCATAGCCTCTCTGTAATATTGCTGCAGTGTGGCTTTCTCCGTCTCCTCCACCTCAGCCTCAAACTCTGATGTGAACATATAATCCACACGGTCGATCGCGGTGTTGATCTTGATGCACAGCTGGAGAGCCTCATTCTGAAAGGACAGAAAATGTTCTTTAAAAGAGCAACTCCAAAACCAAAATTGCTTTGCAAACATCCTGTTTGCTGATGCACCGTTATGGGTTTTCATATCATCACATAATGTAACTCATGTCTATGGAGCAAAACCGAAAGTCTCTGCGCTCCTTAAGCACGGGATTTCCATGTGTATTTGTATGTATGTGCATGTTCTCCATTTGTTTGCTACATCAGTGTTAAGTGACACACATTGAAACCCCTGCTTGTTGTGATATGAAAGTGGGTCTCCAAAAACTGTGACAGTCAGCAAGCAAGTACACATCTGCTGATATGTCAGAAAACAGAAATTGGGAGCATAAAATGTAGTTTGTTTTTCTGGGTTTGGTCTGCATCACCTTGAGCTGTTCCAGGGCAGAGACGATAAGCAGCTGGCTGGATGTCTGCTCTCGGCTGAGGGTGAGAAGTTCTTCCATGGACTGCTGGAAGGCTTTGCGTTGTGTCACCAGGTGGGCCGACTGCATCACAACCAGCAACAGATTGTCCACCTAGGAATCATATGACATATTAGAAGCTGTAATGATTATATAGAAAATTTATTTTTATTTGATATTTTTTCCAAAGACAAAGATTTATTCCAGACCTAAAAATTGTAAAACACATATATTTGTTTTTCTTCAAAGACAAAATAATATATTAAAATGGGCCATTTATACAAAATACAATCTAAAATTTCTATTTCTATTTAATACATTTTAAAATGTATTTAATTACTGTGATGGCAAAGCTGAATTTTTAGCAGCCATTGCTCCAGTCTTCAGTGTCACATGGACCTTCAGAAATCATTCTAATATGCTGACTTGGTTCTCAATTATTTTCAATTATTACTGGAGCTCAGTTACTAATAATGGTTGTTATTATCATTGATGTAAACTGTTTTTGCTGCTTTATATTTCAGAATTCACTGTCATTTTTAATTACGTTTATGATCGTTTACCTTTCTAAATAAAAGTATCATTTTCTTTTTTTAAATCTTATCCAAAACTTTTAGAAGTGAAATAAATTATATTTAAAAATATATATATATATATATATAAATTATATTTAAAAATATATATATATATATAAAATTAAAAAAAAAGAAGACAACAGTTATTTTAAATTGTAATAATATTTAACAATATTATGGTTTTGCTGTATTTTCGATCAAATAAATACAGCCTTCGTTAGAATACAAGACATCTTTCAAAAACATTCAATCTTAATCTTAATTATTCCAAACTTTTAACCTGTAGTGTATAACTACTTTTTTGTGGAAGCAACAGTAGATATTAAACCCTTGACGTCTGTCCACTGACAGCACTGAAGGGTTAAACTGAGAAGATCATATGCGTAACTTCATACCTTCATGGCCCGTAATGTGTCCACAGTCTCCATCTGAGGCACTAGTTTGAGCACAGTGCCATCCCACTCAGTCCAGGCACCATCGGTGGTCGAGTCCCCGACTCCATGCTTGCTCATCAGCAGATAGGCCTCATCTTCTGGGATTTCGTCTGGCTCTTTCGAGCAGTCCTTTCCAGCTGCTGCATTTAACAACTGCAAGATGACCAGCCGCTGCTCCATCAGATCACAAGGGACGAACACCTGGAGTTCCTCCAGTCCTGGGATTTGGACCTAAGAAAAAGGACACACAATGACAGAGTTATTAAGTACATGTACAGCATCTGTTTATAGTTGACTATCATTAATATAGAAGAATGTCTTATTACTTTAACATAATTTTTGGCCTTCAGTGCTTGGAGGAGAGAGGGAACTCCAGTGGTTAACCTGAATTCTGCAGCAATCTCAAGATCCTGAGTAGAAGAAAGAAGAACGTTAAAACAGTCCATCACAGTGGCATACCACAGCGCAAACAGTGCCAAGTAAACTCACCTTGCGCAGCATCTTGGCAAAGCCCAATGCTTTAGATGCTCTCTCCCTGGCTTCATGGAAGAGCTCTTTGAGTGAGCGACTTGTCTCAATCACTGAACGTCTGCAGGGAGAGAAAAAATAGGGATAAATGATTTTAAATAAAGTATAAAAATGCATTATCATGAGAAAATAAAAAATATATATACACACTTATATACACAAAAGTCTGGGGTCAGTAAGATTTTTAGGACGTCTCTTATGCTTAAAAATATTACAGTAGAATAGTGAATAGTAACATTGTGAAAACAGTTAGTTTGCTTAAAATTGTGGAATTCGTGATACTTTTTAGGAATCTTTGATGAATAGAAAGTTAAAAAACAGCATTTATTTTAAACAGATCTTTTGGAACATCATAAATGTCTTTACTGTCACTTTTGATCAATTTAATGTGTCCTTGCTGAATAAAACTATTATTTTCAGATAGATATTAAACCTACATTTGTGTCTGACACTTGCACCACCAAACCGATTTGGATTCTAATCTCATTCCATACATTCACTATTCTATTCTCCCTATAACCCAAAATGTTCTACATATTTTAGATGAGAAAACATTTTTGTTAGAATGAATAGGACCGATGTGATGACATGGCACTGAACACGTTTAACAGGCTTTGATAAGTCTAGCACTGATTCTTACACATTACGTGTTGTCTCAGACTCACCTGATTTCATCCGAGGCAGTGCTGTCATCCGCACATTCCCAGAACTCATTGCCACTCTTCTGAAGGCCGGCGTCCAGAAAGTCTCCAGTGGATTTTAGCAGCATGCCAGCAATATCACTAGAAAAGACAAACAAGAAGTGATGCTTTTTGTGCACTTTACTTTGATATGGATGTTGATTTACTTCTGAATTCCAACCCAAGGATCAATGCAATATTTTTTTCTTCTTTGTTTCATCAATGAAATATGGTACATAGAAAACATTCAGTCCGTACAGCGTACACAGTGTATAAGACTAACCAAAAGAGTTTCCCAGACTGGGCCTCTCCACCCCGGATGTATGGAGTGATGACTTTGGTGAAATTCCACTCCTCCTCCAGCAGGTTCTTCAGGCTGTGGGAGGCTTGAGGCAACTGCTGCAACATCTGGATCCAGCTGCGCATGTAGTCAAAGTACACCTGCATGCACAGACACACAGAAGACATTTATTGTCGGTTTACTTTTTTCTAAATGAAGCTTGTGAAGATCACTGTTGTTCATGATGGAGAAGAACAAGATGGAAATGTTGTATCCGCTGAAGAATAAATCTTATTTTTTTTTGTTGACTTTGACTTATCTCTTGACTGCCATCCATTTAGACGTTAGTTTTTCTGAATTTTATCACATGCAAAAAAGAACGCAATAAAAGCACAGAGCTGGGCAAAAATCCCTGGTACAGACTAGCAGCCATCACAGAAAACCACTCCCAAATCAGTCATGAAAAATTGATGAAATAATTGTACTGTAAATAAGATTACAACAGCAGTCAGTCCTAATCCCACCTCTAGCATTTTGTGCAGATCCTCCTCAAACTCGTCGATGTTGGCATTAGTCTGCAGACCCTGGGGGTCAGTGACGACGCCTTGCAGCATGAACTGGTAGTACTGTTTCATCAGGAGCCCTCCTTTAAGAACCTCTTTACACTCACGCACCAACTACAATACACACACAAAATACACAAATCAGCCATTTTTGATGTCTCTAGGAATCATTTCATAGATTTCATTTGGTCATGTTAAATGCGTGAACAGCTTTTATGAGTTTCTGAGTCTTGAAGAGAGTCAAACACGATAAGGTATCACATTTCAAAATAGCCTTAAGTCATAACCAATAAAATAAAAGGTAACACTTTAGAATAGGGAACACTTATTCACTATTAACTATGACTTTTCCCTCAATAAATTCCTAATTTGCTGCTTACTAATAGTTAGTAAGGTAGTTGTTAAGTTTAGGTATTGGGTAGGATTAGGGATGTAGAATAAGGTCATGTAGAATAAGGCATTAATATGTGCTTAATTAGTACTAATAAATGGCTAATATTCTAGTAATATGCATGCTAATAAGCAACTAGTTAAGAGAGCCTAAAATAAAGTGTTACCAAATAAAATGTATAAAAAGCACTACCAGTTAGTCTCTAAATTAAGAAATCAACAAAGCAATCCACAAACATAGATTAAATTTTAAAGATAGGCTCTTATGTTGGCTTCATCAATGAACAATAAATAAAAAGAAATATCAATGTATATATACACATCTATGATATAAAAAAAAATACAGATAAAAGGTGTAATATTGAAAAATTTTATTGCAATTTAAAATAAATCTTTTCTATTTGAATATTTTTTATTGTAATTTATTGCTGTGAAGGCAAAGCTGAATTTTCAGCATCATTACTCCAGTTTTCAGTGTCACATGATCCTTCAGAAATTATTCTAATATGTTGATTTGGTTCGCAATAAATATTTCTTTTGATTAATATTTTTTATAGGATAACTTTCTATTCTTTAATGAATATAAGCATATATCAAGAATAGAAAGTTTTAAAGAACTCAATTTATTTAGTCTTTACTGTCACTTTTGATTAATTTAACCCTCAAAAGTCTGAACAGCAGTGTATATTCAACATGTAGGTTTATGTAAGTAATGACCTGCTTGATGCTGAGCAGGGACGGTTCTCCTGCAGGCCTTTGCTCAAGGCGCAGTTTGAGGCACTCGTGAATAACATTTAGCAGCACACGGCAAAGCACCAAGAAGGCTGGCTGGAATGAGGGCAGGTCCATGTCCACCAGCTCCTTCCACGATACTCGTCCTGACTCCGCCTCCTCCTCCACCTGACCAGACACGTGACGAGATAGCTCTGGAAGGTAGTCACAGTGCTGCAAAGAATAACCCGGGACCGCTGACAACTAACAGGAACAGAGCAATGAGAACATGGACGTTGAAATTCAGTATTTGATTCTGGTTATGAACATAAAACAGAAGACACTGACCACAAAATATTGCAGGAATACTGGTAAGTAAGAATGAAAGACAGTACACTGACACCAATCCCTTACATGAGATATGAACATGAAATTTCACCCTCATGTTGTTCCAAACTTATATGACTTTGTTTTGGCAGAACACAGCCGCTACTTTTAAAATACTCAAACTAAATGAATAAATGGGACTGTCAAGCTCCAAAATCACAAAATAGCACCATAAAAGTGGTCTACGTGGCCCCTGTGCTATATAAACACACCTAACATACCTAAATGTAAAGTCGGCAAAAAAAGAAAAATGTGTTTTTGGTCTTTTTGTAAATGATTAATCCATGCATATGTTTTATTTTTTGACCTTGGAACATTTAATTAAAATGTGTTTAATCAATCTCAATCTTCTGATGAAAGGACAGACTTTTCTCTGGTGATGCATGCTGGACTTCTCAAAACATTTAGTTTGCATAAACCCTGCCCATTTCTTACAATCGACCGCAAGCTCACATTTAGATTTGCGTTAATCCAATCAACAACTGATTAATTGAATGAAGTCTCCATTTTACTTTTCGTTTTTTGTTTCACTCGGATGTATGTCACTATAAAGAAGAAAAGATCTGTTACTTCTGTCACATTGCAACATTATGTCAATCAGCTCAAAGTGATGTAGATTAATTTGTGCACAAAACAGTTAAAAATTTCAGATTATTATTTTTTTTTACAAATCTGCTGATGCAGTTCACTAGTGGAATGATTCATTCACCAACCTAACTGATCTAGTTCTCAAATTCACAGACTCAATGACCCATTTGCGGAGATAAACGTAAAGAGAATCATTTGCATGAGGACTATTTGACTCTTTTGGAGCTTTAAGATTTAGATCCCATTTATAGCAACTGCATGGAAGAGCAACCAGTACAGTTCCCCTTTTGTGCTCAACAGAAGCAGAAAAGTCATAGTTCTGGAACAAAATGAAAGTGAGGTAATGATGAAAGTATTCTCATTTTGGGGTGAACTAATCCTTCTCAGCTTCTCATTCTTTCAAAGTTGCCATGAAGCCAAAAGGAATGTTTTCCCATTTTCTCCGATATTCCAAACGTTCACAACCAAACTAACATCCTGCCAACATTCAGAAGCTCCACAGTTGCTCTCTCACCTCTTGAGCCGGCATGTGACTCAACAGAGCAGTTCTGGACCTCTGCAGTGAACGGTCCATCAGCTTGTGCAGTCTGAGGATCAGTTTACGGAGTCCCATCTGTTTAAGTGCCTTATCCACAAACGGCCTGTATATGGCGGTGGGAAAGTAGCAGGTCTCGTTGTCCCTCGGGAGGAGCTCCTCCTCTGACAGGAGGCGTGAAAACTTTGGCGTGGGGCAGGGCGACTGCTCCCCGTCGCTGGTCGCCTCACTCAAGGTCCTTTCCTCCCCATCGTTGTCAGCAGTGAAGGTAGCGGTAGACTCTGTCTCATCCTCATCCACCTCATCGTCCTCATTGCCATGGGAGCAGCGAGGCGAGGGGATCTCGAAGATGGGCCAGCCGATGCGGGAAAGGTCCCTGAGGCCCAGCACGGTGCCCATCACACGCAGCTTCTGATTCAGGTCCTGAGTGATGTTGAGCCACAAGCAGAGCGCCTGCACCCTGCCCTGGAAGTCTCGAGCCGCATATTTTTCGTAGTCCTTCTGCAAGGTTTGCAGGGATGGGTACAGAGCTTCCACCGACTCTAACAGCGACATGACACGCTTGACCTGATCGAAAGCTACCCGCTGCCTTTGCAGGTGCTCCCGGCACTCCAGCACTGAAGAAAAAGGAGCAGCGGCGTCGATCTCTCCCCAGGACGTGGAGCAGGTGCTAAAGCTAAATGAATCATTCCTGCAGTTGGTTTCGCCAGGACAGGAGTTGCTCTCCTCAACTGAGACACTGCTCTCAAGCCCGGCTAGGCTGCTATAGTCAACTTTGAAGTGCAGAACCTCCTTGATGATGTCAGGTATGGCTTGGCGGGCAGTGTACAGGTACAGGTCCTGCTCCACGACACTACGGCGGGCGTGCCAGGCCTGCAACTCTAACCAGATAACCTCATTGTTCTGGTCCATAAAGGCTGTGTTCTCCAGGCCTCGCTGCTCTTTCTCCTTCTTCTTGGATGACATGGAGGTGAGCTTAAGCAGCAGCCGCAGAGTCTCAAAGAATTTGAGGCGGTCTGCCGGACAGTCTGTGCGCGAGGTCTGCCGGTGGGTACGAACGGGCAACATGCCCAGGCTCAGGTAGGGCTTGCGGGGATCCATGTTTCTGGAGCCGATGGCACTGGTCTTGGACATTGGATCCAGCATGAAGGAGCCCTCGAATGTCTTCTTGCTGTCCCGCTGGTTGGAGCGCTGGTTGAAGCGCTGTTTCTTTTCCTGCTTGTAGCTGTGCTCTTCAGAAGGTTCGACTGATCTGGCTCCCTCACGTTCTCGTTGAGACAACGGGCTGGAGGAACACAGCTTCTCTGTTGATGAAAGAGATGAAGGTTGGTGACAGACGACCCATTTATTCCAATGATGTTACAAAAATTATCCTGTGATGTACTTAAATATACTTCTAAATATATTAAGTCTGTTTTTTCTTTAGTATACTTCTTGCATTAAATACAAGCAATATAATAGAACATTACTAAAAATAACGTGTTAAAATGAACAACATATTTAATGTACCTGGCCCAGACCTGTTCGAATATGCAGGGCGACGACTGACTGTGTGATGTAACCTATTAGAAGGCAGTTATATGCCCCTAAAATTCAAGATATGAGGGCAAAAAAATGCCCCTGGATGGGTTTTTGTCTTACATTAAATCATATGACATGAATTAGCAAAACCACACAAGCAGAAGACGAACTGCAAATGTGATATTGATTTTATACAACACTTAAATAAACAAGAAGTTAATATTGTGTTACATTTCAATATTCTCTGGTTCTGCTCAATTTCACAAAGGAAAATAGTTCCAAACAACTATTTTTTTATAAATTTTGCATAGTTGTTGCAGCCCTAGTTATTACTCTTTAATGAAATCTTCTTTTAATAATTGTTTTTTCCCCTTAATAATTAAATATCAGTGCACAGAGCTGGAGGTACAACGGTTTTCTTTATTTTCATTCAACATGATCTTAAGCGCTTGAAAGTCACTCCAGAATGATGGCTGTGACATCACTGGGGCCCTAACACCATATGTTTCAGAAATTTGCAATGTTAAGGGGTCTCACCTTTGCCCTTTGACCCCTGACTGTTTCTCTGGTGTTTGTTGGACATACGTTTCATCTGCCGAGGAGTGCGGGGAGGGGAGGTGCTGTAGAGTGTCTCCTCTTCCTGGCTGGGCTCGTCCCAAGACTCATCCACCTCTGTGTTCTGCTGGGGCACATCTTTGGACGAGTCCTTGAGCCTGAACAGAAATAACAACAATCCAAAATATGGGGTAGTCGTGGCCTAATGGTTAGTGATTGTAGGTAGGGGGAATGAATGACTAGCGCTTTCTTCCACCTTTAATACCACGATGGGTTAAATGCAGAGCACAAATTTCGAGTATGGACACCATACTTGGCTACACATCACTTTTACTTTTACTTTCACTTTCAAATATGAGTATGGAGCAGAACCTGAAGTGCAGCTTTGAGCAAACTTAAAGCTAAACCACATTTCTGTTATCAAAATGGAAGAATTTAAGAAAATAAATGCACAGCAAGGTCAAGAAGCTCATTATAAGGGACTTACAGTTTTTAAGAGGATTATAAATCGGAAGAGTTAATTCATCCCTTAGACAATGAAACAAACAAAAAAAAGGACTGATTTGCTAACTGGTGCAAAACTCGCCATCATGCTGAGACAAACTGTGTATGTAGGTGTATTTGGACACGTGCATGTCTGTGTGTGTGGGAGGAAAATGATATTGATACAGGGCCATTGTCAGGCAATGGCGGAAGGGATCACTTTCACAGTGGGGTCAGACTTTGGTTGAGTTAATCTGTTTCCACTCACAAAGACCACTCAGAGTAAAGCCAGAATCATCCATCTGCCCCTCACATACATAAATTCACCCACAATCCCCTAGGGAGTCACCAGCCAGCCCAAAAGTCCCCCCCAGACACCTGCTGCAGTGTATTGTGGTCCTCGTGCCAGAACATTCAGACACAGCCAGCCCGACACCCTGCACCCCACCGCTGCCGCCACTTAACATATGGATACCACCCCAAGACCCATCATTTACATTTAGCTGACTCACATCACTTAAAAAAAGCAACATTTTGGCACCATTTACTATGATGCACAAGTTTTATTGTGACTTTTCTGATAAAAATTTCAATTGCATGGCTTTTAAAAGCTTTGAAAGTAAAACTGTATAAATACAATACTAATGTTTACAAATTTTAAAATGACTTGATTGAACACAGCAAGGAGCCCTTAAAGCTTCTCTTTTGTTGACAACAGTTGGTTTATAAGTGTTTCTTATTAATAAGTTTCGGAAGATAGTTCCCAAATGCACATTATAAGTGACCCAAACTCACAGTAGAGATGACTTTATGAGGAGCAGCATTTTCTGCAATCCAAGCCGTTTTGAAACACTAAAAAAAGCCACCAGATAAATGAGCTGCTAGTGTTTAAAACACCACATTGCCATGCAGCACGTACATTTAATTAAACTGCAGATTTTGTGATTTGATAATCGCACTAAGCCATATCACGTTTTCAGCTACTGCGATCAATCGTGCAGCCCAGCCCTACACTTAAACACACTGCATGCAAACTGATCTGTCTTTTTTCAATAATGAGCACAGCATGACATGATGTGTCATGATTCAATGACATGAATTCTAAACACTTGACCACATAAGCAATAAGAAGGATTCCATAACTTCTACTTTTTTTCTCTCTGTGAGCAAATATGCACTGCTGGGAGAGTGACAGAGTGTTTGTGTTTGAAGGTGCAGCCCCGGGCAGAGTCTAACTGTGACCAAACCCTTCAGGAATGACACAGGAAATGGTGAAATCACCCAGGCTCTGGCTGTTTGTTTGGTTGTCATGACGTATCTCCATTGAACACTGCTTGAGCACTAGAGCGGAAAGGTCTAAAGAATTCCACCTCCGTACTATCACCCCACTGAAAGGCATCCAACATGCAGGAACACCACGGCAGCGCTGAGTGCAACCCCATAACGCACAAAAGCAACACAAGTTGTTGATTTATGGCTGCATATTCAGCTCAAGTCTACTGAATAGCTCGTCCAAGGTTATCATGAACAAACTATACAGCAGTGGAATGTTACAGCCTTTCACGAGGGCCATAAACAGAGCTGACCACATCTGCCTCGCTGCAGTCAAGAGAGGCCAGTGAACTCTGACCCCATCCGCCGCTGCCGCCACTTAACATATGGATACCACCCCAAGACCCATCATTTACATTTAGCTGACTCACATCACTTAAAAAAAGCAACATTTTGGCACCATTTACTATGATGCACAAGTTTTATTGTGACTTTTCTGATAAAAATTTCAATTGCATGGCTTTTAAAAGCTTTGAAAGTAAAACTGTATAAATACAATACTAATGTTTACAAATTTTAAAATGACTTGATTGAACACAGCAAGGAGCCCTTAAAGCTTCTCTTTTGTTGACAACAGTTGGTTTATAAGTGTTTCTTATTAATAAGTTTCGGAAGATAGTTCCCAAATGCACATTATAAGTGACCCAAACTCACAGTAGAGATGACTTTATGAGGAGCAGCATTTTCTGCAATCCAAGCCGTTTTGAAACACTAAAAAAAGCCACCAGATAAATGAGCTGCTAGTGTTTAAAACACCACATTGCCATGCAGCACGTACATTTAATTAAACTGCAGATTTTGTGATTTGATAATCGCACTAAGCCATATCACGTTTTCAGCTACTGCGATCAATCGTGCAGCCCAGCCCTACACTTAAACACACTGCATGCAAACTGATCTGTCTTTTTTCAATAATGAGCACAGCATGACATGATGTGTCATGATTCAATGACATGAATTCTAAACACTTGACCACATAAGCAATAAGAAGGATTCCATAACTTCTACTTTTTTTCTCTCTGTGAGCAAATATGCACTGCTGGGAGAGTGACAGAGTGTTTGTGTTTGAAGGTGCAGCCCCGGGCAGAGTCTAACTGTGACCAAACCCTTCAGGAATGACACAGGAAATGGTGAAATCACCCAGGCTCTGGCTGTTTGTTTGGTTGTCATGACGTATCTCCATTGAACACTGCTTGAGCACTAGAGCGGAAAGGTCTAAAGAATTCCACCTCCGTACTATCACCCCACTGAAAGGCATCCAACATGCAGGAACACCACGGCAGCGCTGAGTGCAACCCCATAACGCACAAAAGCAACACAAGTTGTTGATTTATGGCTGCATATTCAGCTCAAGTCTACTGAATAGCTCGTCCAAGGTTATCATGAACAAACTATACAGCAGTGGAATGTTACAGCCTTTCACGAGGGCCATAAACAGAGCTGACCACATCTGCCTCGCTGCAGTCAAGAGAGGCCAGTGAACTCTGACCCCATCCGCCACTGGAGTCATTGTTGTAGCCTGCAGCGCTTCATTGTGTGCGAGCGACGCGTGGACCAAATGGTCTCAGCATCTAATGGCTGGCTGCAGCCAGTGATAGGATTAGGAAAGAATGATATTGCTGAAATTCGTAATGTTTTTTAATACTGCTGACAATACTCAATATGCTAAACAGACATTTTTAAGTATTTATTCAAAAATCTGAATTAGGACTGAATTAAGATTCTCTATATTATAACATGCTCACTGGACGTGGCGGAGGGCACTCAAAAATATGGTCCTGAGCCCCATAAAGTTTCCCACTAAATGAACACGATCAAGTGCAAAATAAAGTGTACAACTCTTTATAAGGACTTTGCAGTTCAATTTGCAATGTTAAACATTTTCTCCCCAAAATCAATTCAGCAAGTATGCTTTAAATTGATCAAAAACAAATTCTAAGTTTAAGACACATTTTATCCTTTTAAACTTTCTATTGATCAAAGAATGCTGAAAAAAATGTATCACTCTTTCCACAAAAATATTAAAGGCTGGGTAAGTGATTTTTTGTTATTCTGGTTGAAAGTCTCTTCACATCCTTATAGCAATCACTAAGTTAACTGGTCTAAATTTATTTATATGTATTTATATCGTCTGTGGAAGGCGTAGGACCATAAAATGTTTGTCAACATATGTATTTGCATACTTCCGAGCACCCTTTTCACGCAGATATGATACGTCATCAGCACGTTCCGTTACGCCATTGCAGACCGAGCGAGAATGGAAGGTGTTATTATTGTAATATTATGCGCTTTGTTCCGTAATGTTTTCTCACCGGTGAATGAGACGATGTAATCTGACAGTGCTGCATTTAACCCTGTTGCTGGTTAGCCTCTGATCTACCTGTGCGTGTTCATGTGTTTTGGATGCAGCGTGGCTTTGGAGAATGATTTGCAGGGAGGGGGGGATCCTATGGCGCTTTTCCACTACATAGTACGGCACGGTATAGCTTGCTTTGGCGCTTTTCCACTGCACAGAATGGCACGGCTCACTTTCTGGCGCTTTTCCACTGCATAGTACAGTTCACTTAAATAGTACCACCTCCGATACTAAAAGTACCCACCCACACCGATACTAAAATGTGACATGTTAACACTGCAGGTCAATACCAGCTTCATTAGATTTGAGACACGAGACACCAAACCACTGCAGTAGAGGTGCCGCAACTGGTCTATAATCCCACCCACTTTCAAGCGATACTAACTGCAGTTGAAAAAGCAAGCAAGCCGAGCCAAGCAGAGCCGTGCTGAGTCGTACCACGCAGTGGAAAAGCTAGCTTGCTATTGCTAACCTCTCCGAAATCACCCACCCTACTTTTAAGCAGCACAACTAGGGCTGCCCTCGACTAAAGATTTTTCTGGTCGACTAGTAGACGTTCATTTTAAGCATTAGTCGACTATTAGTTGCACTTTTATTAATAAACCAAATAAATCATAATAATGAGCCTTTAATTGCCTACATAGCCTAATAAGCGCACACAAACAAAGGCTTGCCACAGCGCACCGGCAAATATAATAATTATGAATGTGTTAGGGAAAAACAGCAAGTACACTGCATTAACGTTTTAATAATTTATTGTTACACTAGTGCTTTCTGTTTTCGGTTTTAGAGATGAAGTCGGGGACACGGACTCGGCATCTCCGCAGTATGCGCCTGTATGCATGTTTCATACGGATTACATAATCTGAGAATATTTGTTTTTTATTTGAATTGGTTCATTTAAAAGTTTCACTCTCTATAGATATAATTATCATGTCTGTAATAAGGCAAGCATACACGGAGTTTCAAAGTGATGCGCTCAAGTTC